TGGTATCTTTTAGGGTGTTAAATGCGAATTTTTGAAAATCAGCATTTTCTGGTATCTCTTAGGGTGTCGGAAAAGGAGGGAAGCACGCATCGATATGGCTTATCTTAGGCGCTTTTTATATAAAATTTAATATTATTTGTTGTGGTATCTCTTAGGGGTTAAAAATCATTCAGCCACGCACTTTTTTAAAGACTTCCGGTATCTTTTAGGGGTCGGCATCTTTTTGAAAATTTCYGACGAGGGAGGGGGGACTACGGGGAAAAAGTATCAGGGATGCTTGTCGTATCTCTTAGTGGTAAAAATTCTTTATTTGGTATGTTTTAGGGTGTTAAATGCAAATTTTTGAAAATCAGCATTTTCTGGTATCTCTTAGGTTTACGGAAAAGGAGGGAAGCGCGCATCGATATGGCTTATCCTAGGAGCTTTTTATATAAAATTTAATATTATTTGCTGTGGTTTCTCTTAGGGGTTAAAAATCATTCAGTCACCCACTTTTTTTAAAGACTTCTGATATCTTTTAGGGGTCTTTTTGAAAATTTTCAATGAGCATCCCCGGTACTTTTTTCCCGGAGTCCCCTCCCCCCCCGGGTGAGAGGGGTATTCCACAGACCTACTCTTTAAACATGTTTTATTAAGTAATATGGAACAAACCTCTACAGGTTGTGAACTATGATGGAGTCTCCAAGAATGTGACAGCGGTTGGTTTCCACGAAGATGGTAAATGGATGTTTACAGGAGGAGAAGATTCCTCAGCAAGAATATGGGATCTAAGGTACAGAAAATTATAGCCAATTCATAATCTGTCTGTCATTTCTTTGAATTCAAGTTTCTAATTCTCTGTTGCTTAAGGTTACACTCTATTTTGTCTAGAATATTTACATTTTTTAGTGAAGGTGTCTTTTAGTCAAGGTCTTAATTATTGGTATTTGTGAATTTTTTGATGTGGAAATATGGCTAACCCGGACTACTTATTTAAATCAATGTCGAACATGGCTTTGAAGAATGTCTATTATCATTATTGTTTCAGGTCGCGCAATCTTCAGTGTCAAAGAGTTTTTCAAGTCAATGCTCCAGTAAATTGTGTTTGTCTTCATCCGAACCAGGTACAAGGTTATAACACTACAAATCTTTCAATATATATAAAAAAATGTATTTGTCTAGCATTTTTTCTGTATTTTCTTTTAGGGGGAGCTTATTGTTGGAGATCAAAGTGGAGCCATTCACATGTGGGATTTGAGGACAGATCACAATGAACAGTTGGTATGTACTTCACCTCTTATTCCATTCTAAATAGATACGTGTAACATGTACACCCTACATTAACCTATACTACACTATGGTATTTTACATCCCAAATTAATAGTCACCACTGGCACACCTATACTATACTATACTATATGTCACTATTAGTATACCATATATTACAGTATACTAAAATACAGCACACAACTTTCACTATATCACACTATGCCATACATCTTCAGCTCACCATATAGCAATTAGTAAACTACACCACACCATATCATGTTATGCCATACCACACTATACTACACCACACTACATTACATACACCATACCATATACTAAATTACATCACACAACACTATGTCACACCACACCATAGCATTCAACATGACCCCACGTCATGGCATGCCCCATCAAACCACTTCATGCCATACCACATACGCCACACCTCACCACATGTCCATACAGCACTACACCTTCAGGCTGCACTACATTAAATATAGTATTTGCCTTTGATAGATTCCAGATGAAAATGCTTCAGTCTTGTCAATAAGTATTGATAGAGAAGCTTCATATATGGCAGCAGTAAACAACAAGGTAATATTTAATGCTGAATATCCTGGCTTGTTAATACTCAATACTGATGAGATGATACATGATACAATATCTTTGCTATCAATCAGGGTAATTGCTATGTTTGGAGTCTGTCTGGTGGAACGAATGAAGATCCAACAGTACTTCATCCCAAGACGAAGATTGAATCACATGAAAGATATGCTTTGAAATGTCAGTTCAGTCCTGACTCATGGTAAGAAATACATGTATGGATATTAATTACTTTGGATGTCCATCCATTCATTTTTGCATCCATCCATCCATCCATCCACTCATCCATCCATCGACCCATTCATCCATTCATTCATCTGTCCACCCTCTCATTCACTATCCATTAAATCTTGTTGCCTCTTTTCTTCTATTCCTAGTCTACTAGCCACTACCTCAGCTGACCAGTCCGTCAAGATATGGCAAACAGCTGACTTTTCTCTCAAAACCACTCTCCAAGATGCCACACAAAGATGGGTTTGGGACTGTGCCTTCTCTGAAGACTCCCAATATCTTGTCACAGGTAAGCTTTCATGGTGAAGGTGGTGGTGCTGTAGTACAGTGATTCAAAATGCAATTAATACAAGTGAATTTTGTATCAAAATAAGTGTGAAATGCCACAGCAACACTGTATGGCATTCACATTCTTAAACAAATTACAGCCCGTTACTTTATATTTGACCAATTGAAAATACTTGGACTCAGCAAAGTCTTGCCGTAGCGTGGTACACACTGGTCTATCACCAGGGATGGTTTGAAGGTGCAAAACAACCTTTATAGCTCCCTCTCCCTCTTTTCAATTTTACTTCAACTATAAAATGTGAAGAAAGAATGTTTGACAATGGCAGCATGGGTAGCATGGGTGGCGTTCACGGCTAACGCGTCGTCTTTCACCGCTGTGAGTCCAACGGGTCGGGTCGCTGGTTCGAGCCCTGCGGTCGCCACATGTGAATTGAGTTTGTTTGA